TTAGGTGTTCCAATAACTTCCATGGCCACAGGTGTTTAAAATTAAGTCCCCAACTTTCTGCAGAGTCAATCTCTACAGACCTGCAAACTTCATATGTTCACCTGATTAGTTCAAGAAGCGTGCATAGAGAATGTCCTGGAATGGCTTTCCATGGCCAAGCAGCCAGATGGAGTGGTGTGAAGCACGCCACTGCTGGACTCTAAAGCAGTGGAGAACTATTCCAGTGAGAGGAACTCTTAATGCTTCAGCATAGAAAAACATTTTAGAGAGAGACTGCGAGCCAGGCCTTCTCATCCAACATCAGTGTCTGACCTCACAAATATGCTTCTGCAAGAATAATCAAAAATTCCCATAAACACTCCTAAACCTTGTGGAAAGCCTACCCAGAAGAGTTGAAGCTACTTTAGCTACAAAGTGGGCCGACATCATATTAAATCCTTGGATAAGGATGGGTTGTCATATGTGCATGAAGGCAGATGAGTGAATGCTTTTGGCTATTTCGTGTCTGTGTCAGCAGTCGTCCTCTCATGCACCTGTCGCTCATTCAGATGTGCAGAAATTCTACATTAGAGTTGTGCATGCAACAGAGATGCTTATAAAAAGTAAATTTAAAGAAGACTGGGGAAAGATTTTAGATTTTCTTCCTTATGCCATTTTTAAAATCTCTTCTAATATCAGTGAAATTTTTAATGGATGAGCAGAGTATCTACAAAGTACCTAAATTCAACATCATTCTTACCTTAATTTTTCTGTTCAGAGTGTCTTCTTCAACAAAACACAAAGACAGCAGTCATCTTCAAGTTATCCAGATACGATGCAAAAAAAAAAACCTACTACCCTGCTCCGAATTTTATCCTGATTCTTTACTAGCTTGGTTTTCTGCATAAAGCGTCCTCGTGTCGCTGGCCTGCAGCAATCAGCCGAACATGAAGTGATAGGATACTAACTTTCATGTACTCCCTCGGTCTATGTCTCCCTCCGTCCTGATCTGTCCTCTCCTTACCTGCTGGGTCAAAGGGAGGTTCAGCCCACGGCTACTGTTCAAAGTCATAAATGGTTTTAAGCCCAAAATGTCACCTGTTGCAAACACTACACTTCAAAAGAGCCAGAGGGCCTTTGATATGAGTCAGCTTTGAACAGTTCTCATCTGCTTTGAGACCATCTGTGTTCAAACACTGGCAGTGAGACATAGATGAGAAACAGAACTAAGGCTAAGCAGGCTCACACATTAAACTCATGGCAGCTCATTTGTATCTGAACATTTTTGACGCACTTCTGTTGTTTGTATGTTAATCTTTTGTCCTTTCAGAGCACTAAGCGGCTGTTAATCAGAATCAGAATCAGAATACTTTATTAATCCCGAAGGAAATTAGGGTTACAGCAGGCAGCACGCTAATGGCGGATGCGCACTTACAAAGGAACCTTCTGACCAACTTTACACAAACATCACATTGGGGAGACATGTCAGAAAGGTAGGCTGATAGGAAAAAAACAACGAAAATATATAACATGAGGTAAGAGGAGAAGAAAAAAAAACTCCACTCAGACTGAGCTCCTAGTGGGAGAACAATATAATAATATACAGTCATGGTAAAAAGAAGTACACCTATACAATTCTTATCGGGATAAATTAGGTAAATACGACCTCAAAAGAACAACGCATTAGAATATAATGTGACATTATTCATTTAACAAAACCTAAGCCAAAATGCAGAACAGTGTGTGAAAAACCAAGTACACCCCATGTTCATTGACCTACTTATTGCACCAGTGAACAATTAAGTGAATTATCCTGGTGGAGGACCGTTTTTCAACTAAGGCCTGTAGAGTCAGAGATGTAGTTCTTTGTATTTTTGCAGTTTCTTTGAGTATTACACAATCTGTCCTCAAGGTCAATTCGGTCAGGTCGGGACATTCCCTCTCAGGGTGATACAGTTATCTTGAATATTTTGTGAATAATCTTTCAAATTTAAAACTTTGTAACCTTTCCCAGACTGACAGGCAGCAACAACTGCTTCTTCAAAGCAATGACTTCGTTTTTATTTTTTTTAGAGACGCTCACAACCTACCCTCTTAATTCCTATAGAAGCAGTAAAGTTGTACTATATTTTTATATTTTACATGTAAAATAAAATGTAATTTGTTGTTCATACGAGATTGTATTTAGCTAATTTTAAGATATGTTGACATATAAAACCTCAAATATGAAGGAGAGTGTACGAAAATGCAGATGAGTGTAATACTGCTTCCAATACTGAACTTTTGATTGAAATACAAATGAATTCAGTTAATCAAACTGTGTCAAATATAACTGGTGAGAGCTAAGACTATAAATCAGAAAGAATCTGGATATAATAGAGGTGCTCACACTTACTGATGATCGGATAATCGAGTGCATTTGATTAGCAGCACCTGGTTGGTGTTTACATTTAGTTTTTGTATACTGCTCCTGCAAAGTGGCTGAATTTTTGTTAAATATATAATTACTTGTTGTGTTATGTAGTTGACCCGACCTGCCGAAGGTAAAATTGTATTTTTATGTCCCGACACATAAAATGTTATGAATGAAAGTGTGTTTACTTTCATTTTAGTGTACATACTTTTGATTTGAATGAATTCAAAGTGAGAGAGAAAGAAGGAGAAAGAGACAGTAGATAAACATTTCAGCAAACCGCACACCGGTTGTGTACTTGGGCAAAACCACAATTAGGTCAAGCAAACAGATTTAGCCCGGAGCAAAAGCAGCATGTATAACATGTTTATAAGGCAGTGTGAAAAAAGCAGCACTGTGTCTTATGGTATTTACATTATTTTTAGTATTGAGGGCTAAAAGCTTTACTACACAGTAGTGCCTCAAAAAGCAGCAATCATCTCCCTTTTTGAAAAGGTTATCTCAGCATGCAAAATCCTTAAAGATCTTGTCTTCTATCTACAGAGATGTAATAGAGCAACAGGCTGATTTTGAACTGTATGCAAACGTATTATCTGTCAAAGTTTTTTGGGGTGCTATCTATAGTAAATGTCAGCTGGCTCACTTTCCCAAAGGTGCATATGTTAAATGAAAGCTTCATCTGTGTGTGTAAAAAGCTGTGTGCAAAACAATGTGAAATATCAGCTTGAGCATTTAATATCCATTTAGATGTTGACATATATGTGGATTGCAGTCCAAAATGCAGTGTTATTGAGTCATTGCATCGGCTGACACACCCCATTCCTCCTGCTGGGAATGACTTCAACACTCACTCATGCTGCAGCATTCTGAAGAGACACATTTTGAATGAGTACTGCCCTAGTAACATCATTTTGTCATGGTTACACCAATGTGAAATGACAACCACCTCCTAAATAAGCCCTTCAAGGGAAATTCCAGTGATACATGTCCACCACATCTAACTAAAATAGGCAAAATTAAATCGTTAAGATTGTAATTATTAACACCTAAAAATACAACATTATCTTGTTAAAATTTGCTGGGAAGCATTTGGTTTCTGGCATTGTTTCACTGGGTCTCTCACAGCTGGAAAAAGACAAACACAGAAGACTAAATTATCTCTATATGTGTGACTCAGCAGCGACAAAATCCACCAGGAAAAGCTGAGAATGTAGATTCCCTCAGAGCCACTCTGCATTATATTTCAGTGTTGAACTGTCACATGGTGCCACATTTATATCTTGATGTTACTAGTCAAAAAATTTAAATGCATCACTTAGAGTTGTAATTGTGAGCATTGTAGCAGTGATTCAGCCCAAAACAATTGCACAAATTCTGTTTTGCAACAGGCGGCTAGAGCATGTGTCTAAAGATATAATGTAAAATTGGTTCTTTGCTAAGATGTCTCTTACGTGTCGTCACAACAGCAGTCCGTCCCTTGAGTTAGGTGCCTTTTTTTTATACTTGAATGATTCACAGGTCAGTGTTAAGCAGCTTAACAAACAAGAACAAACACAAACATTCATCTGAAAATGATCAGGTGCAAGGAATGGACTGAAAATCAGTGAAAAAGCAGCCAATGTCTGATGAAAACATTTAAAAGACCTACAGAGAGCCTGGTGAAATATTGCTCAAGACAATTTTTTAAAAATTATAAGAAAGTCTGGCTCCTTGGACGCAGACGATTAAGAAATGAGAGATGCCTCAACACTTGTACTGGTGTCGCCACTAACCTGAGTATACATCACAGATTTCTTAGTCTGTCTGATACCACTGGTGGATGTAGATCTAAGATTAACTTTTACATGCACAACACAGGCAAAGCACACGTTTTGTTAATGGTTGCCTTAAACACATGATATTTTTAATGTTGTAATATATTAGTAATATCATGTAATGGCTTGTGACCATTTTGCATCCCATTTTTGTTTAATCTAAGTTGAATGTTGTGATTAGATTTGTTTTAATATTCTGGAACTTTCATGTGTCTTTAAAGTTCTGTCTTTTACAACAGAGTAGTTGTCAGTTAATCAAATTGTACTCAAATTGTAATGTAGTTTAAAAGAAAAGGTGGTTAGAGAAAACCTACTTCCTCTCTATAGCTGTGCACAAACGTGCTAACCAGACTGGTATAACTTCTAGATCACAAATAATGTTGCATAACTTCCTCATTTCTAAACACATTGTTTATTCTGTATGCATAGCAATCATTGCTTAAAATATTAGGTTTGTCTTGCTCACACCCTTTTATTCTTGACATATAAAAAAGTACCCAAAAAATCAGCGTAAATTAATAATAATTGTATCTCAGTATTTCGCTCAGATAAATCTCCATCCAGCCGTTTATAAATCGCTGAAAACGAATCGAAACGAAATCACCTGTGTCCTCGCACTCACTGTGCAAAGTACCCTCATCATGCCAAAGAAAGAGAATTAGCATAGTGAGAGGGGAAGTAGAAAAAACAGTAGAGGTGGTTACGTAAAGCCCTACGTAATGGTTTATTTATGTCGGTGGGCCAATAAAATGTGCTCTGACTTCAGCCGTCATGACGTAATGCGATCTACTCCAGAATAGCGCGCGGCGGAGGAGCAGCCTCACGGTGCCGTTCAGCTCTTTCTCTCTCCGGACCGTCTGGCCAATGTTTGTTTATTTATGTCGGATTCGTGAGGTCCGGAATAAGGCTGGCAGGGCGGGATTTGCGGCGGCATGTCGGCGTTAAAGGAGAACCAGTGTTACGGGCTGTCCAGCGGCAAACTGAGCCGCGGCGGTAACATCTCCGTTTTTCACGTAAAACTCACTGACAGCGCGGCAACAGCCATTAATACCTTCCAAAACGGCAAGGTGGGTCATTTTCTAAAGTATTTTCTCTTCAAATAATTACTAGTTAAGTACACTGGCATTTAAATTTAACGTACCACTTTGTCAAAGGAACAATTTTTGGGTTTTTTAACAAAGGAAAAGACGAAGTGATACTAAACGCGGGTTTGTTTTTTGTGTGTGCTTTAAATTTCGGCCGAAGTTCACCACTACCTTCCCCGGTTGTTGACTCCTACAAGCTCCCCCCTTTTCAAGCTATGAAATGGAAATACATGTTGCATAATACAACGCAGAAACGTTTCCCTGTGTGCGGATGTTTGTAACGAGCTGCTGGCCCACTGCTCACAAGCTGCTGGCCAAGTACTAGGAATGCTAATCAGTGCCGGGGTCGAGGAGAGGAGAAAGGAAAAAGGAGGACAGGCTGTGTGTGTAGGGGGGGAGGAAAGGAGGTTAGTTGTGGGAGGATATTCTGAATTGGATTTAAAGACATGGAGTACTTGTGTGATTTTTTTTTTTCTTCTTTTTTTAATTTGCTGAATATCATAAAGATCAGAAGACAGATGGACGAACTCAGGCAAACATTTGACCCAGTTAATCATAAATGAATCAGACGCTGCAGGAAGTGTAAAGCAGAGAACAGTCATGTACACTTCCTCAATGCACTAATTCCTCCTAATACAGATAGGAAACTCCTCAATGAAGAAATGACAGCTACAAGCTTTTCTGATGAAAGGTGGAAACCACGCTGCTCATGTCATGTCCTGGCTTTCAGCGTAATACAGCTGTGATGAGATTGAGCGGGAAAACACCTGATGAGGAGCAGGCTGTAATATGCATATGTCATTGTTTCTGAGCATGCATTTAGGTTCTTTATTTAGCTTTAAGCATGTCTATTCAAATCCTACTTGGCTGGATCACAGATACCAAAAAAGAAAAACCCAAAAAACACCTCCACACCTTACTCTGTACTAGCAGCCACCTCACTTTCTCTGCACTCATCCACAGGTGAACTTATGCAAAGGTCAGAATCGAGTCATCACATACTTTCCATCCCCGCTGCAAACGTGTCACTTTGGCTAGTTTGCTCCCTGTGAGAGATGATACTGTGTTTCATCATATTTTTATCTGTGGAGCTGCTTATTGACCTTAGCCAGAGCAAGGGGATGGAGGAGCAGCAGGACCTGGAGCAGACAATGGTGCATGTACCCATCTGTTTAAATAGAAACTGAGCACTCAAATAATACCTGACATGCTTGGTTAATATCCTGAGTTTATTAATAGGACTGGGTTTGTTCTTGATATGAACGCAATGGGTGTAGGGTTTCTTTTTCTCTTTCGGATTCCTAAGTAGGAGGGGGAAGTAGCTTCTGGGTGGTGAAAGTGAAGCAAGTACAGAGCTTAACAGTGACTTAAACCTGCATTCATTTTAATGGCCAGCAGGAGGTGACTTTTCTAGTTTCAGGAAGAAGTCCAGTTGTAGAAGCCTATTGGAAAATGACCCTGCTGCTCACTTGATCTGTACCCTTATTATATGGTTGTCTGATAACTTTATGGTTTTAATTACTAGTTTCACAGCTTATTCAATACAGCACGATTCAATAAGTGTCCAGAGGGACAGTAAAGTGGCATATCTCCCTTGTTTTTCCATCATATCCCTCGCTGTTTACGTGCCGTTTCTAGACAGCAAGAGAGGAATGGGCCTTGCTAACCAATGGATGATGTCACAACAGCATTGTCTTATATATTTTATATACAGTTTGTGTGCACTATGCAGGTTAAGAGCTAATTAGGAAAGCTCACATCTTTCTAAATCGATAACCCTGTTCAAAAATAAATAAATAAAGGAATACATAAATAATCTTCCAACTGTAGCACTTGAGACCTGTAATCAGACCCTTACTGGGCCACAGCAAAAGAAGGGATACTACCTTCACTTGCAAGCTGGTGTGGGGTGGTGAGAAAAAAAGATGTTGGAAAATTTTCTGAAATGCTGTTCACAATTACGAAGAACAACTGTACACAAAACAAAATGAAAATGGGCTACTAGCAGCCAGAAAACCACAGTGAAGGTGGAGCCAGAAGCATTCAGATGAGTAGTGCAGACCACAAAACATCCTCTGCTGCCCTGCTCTATATGTATATGTGTGAGCTTGTTTTACTATACTTGTGACATCTGCTAACCTTGTGGAAACTATTATAACTGGACTCCACAAGTTTAAGGTTAAGCATTTGTTTGACATTGTCAACGTTAGCAAATGAAGCACTCACACAAAGGGGGTTGTGAGAAAACGAGTCAGAATGTTGATGCTTGTGGGGTTTTAGATGCACACCCATCTAATGTTTTTTTTTTTCCCCACCACAGGGCTGGTCGGCCCAACCCACCATCTGTTTTAGTGGAAATGAAGGGGTAAGAAGGACGTCTTACTGCTGACACAAAGCGATCCTAACACATTTTAAAGCTGATAAATCTCAATCTTTCAATCTCAATCTGTTCTTTTTCTTCTTTCCCTATTCATATTACAGAGAATCACCATCCCTTGTTCGGAAAATAGAGATGAAGTCAGGAATTTCACCTTTGGTGTGACTAATGTTGCCCGTGATAATCCCCACGGAAGCTTTGACTGCATCAAACAGCTCACCACCAGGTAAAGACAGCAAAAAGCATCAGTTTCGATATAGGAAGGGTTTTCAGATTAAAATAGAGTTGTAAGGCTTTAACTGTATTGTTTTGTCTGAGGTGGTTATATGATTATATGTTTACTTAGTAATATAGATGTAGAAATAACTGACTGCCTCAATGAGTATTAATCTTTTCAAATGTCTCTGCCCCCTGCTGCTCTGTGAAAGTTACCCTGCTGCTAACGTTTCTCTGCCTTTAAATGCCAGAGAAAACTCAGGGTTCCTGACTGCATAAGCATAGAAATGCACTGAAGTGGATTTAAATGTCATGTATTGGCGAGGCAGACAAGTAGTCCAGCATACATCTAACTGAACACTACCTAAAGCAACTGCGTCCTGAGAAACAATCTTTTATTTGACACGGATAACCTTTGCAAGGAGTCGTTAAAACACTGTCAGGTCGCTGTCTGTACACACTGTCTTCCCTCCTCCTCTCAGTGCCGCCGAGGAGCTGTCATGTCTCGGGGTGATTCAGAAGAAGATGACAGTCAAAGCCACAGATGAGTCGTACGATAAAGCTCGTCAGAGCATGGCCCAAGCCGAGGAGGAGACGCGCAGCCGAGGGGCCATTGTCATCAAACACGGAAGCCGCTACCAGGGTATGAAGTATAGAAAACACTTGCACGTCCACAGAGCGTACTCGGTTATACAACAGATAACTCCAGCTAAGCGAGAAGATTGGCCTGAAGAAAAATTTGTTCTGTGCTTATAAGCACAGACAGCCATATTGCATTGGTTGCCTTGGCAACATGTGTAGTAACCAGTGACATAGTAACGGCCTGTCTTGTTTTCTCCTGCATGTTTTGTCCTTTTGTGTAGCTAACCGTAAACTTTCTATATGTGATACAGTGGTTTTAAAGAATACATGGTCTCTATGCACATACAGAAACTGCATTCTGCACATGTTCCTCAAACATGAATGTGCATGATGAAACCAATGATTTAGCTTTTTTTTTTCTTTTTTCTTTACAAACCACCAAACCATTTCCGTATGAACTGATATATTATAGCCTGAGTCTCAACTGCTTTCACCGAAAGAGCACATAAATATACACGTATATATGTAGATGGGTTTTGTTGATTCTGAGGAAGCCTTAAAAAGAAAAAAAAAAAACTTCCTTACAACAGGCTTGTGCAACCATGTGGTTACTTCTTAAATTAGACAGCAGGCTTTGCTCACTGAGATGCGTGTGCATGCAGCTTCGTAACCTAAATGTGGGTTTCTGAAAGGTGAAACGAGGTCTTGTCTTTGTGTTTATCCACATCTCTGCTTTTGGAGAAAGTTAAGGAAAAAAGTCCTTTTCCCCCTCAGTATCTGATTTTGCTTCTCTGTCTGGAAATAGCAATACATGTTAGGAAATGCAGCACAAGGTTATTTTTGATGATTGAAATCTCAGAAAGTGCTCCCCTGATATCATTCATGTAAAAAAAATTTCCTGTTTCTTTGAAGGCAAGAAGGTAACAGTGCGAGCCCCAGCCCCTGCTCTGGCCAGACTCACCAAGCCAAAACACTCGTCTCTTCTCAGCAACATTAAGAAGGGAGTCGGTGCGTCCAAGCCGAAGAAAGATGCCTGTGCATCAAACAGGAGAAGCAGTTGTGATTTGCAAGAGAAGCCCCTCAGGGAGAGAGTAATGCACCTGCTGGCTCTAAGGCCATACAGGAGGCCCGAGTTGATCCTGAGGCTGCAGAAAGATGGGCTGACAGCAGGAGACAAAAACATGCTGGACTCTGTACTAATGGAGGTATTTCTGTTCCGGTTTTATACAAACATAACATGCAAGCATTAGACTGTGTTAAAACTGCCTTTATGCACGTGACTCTTGGTTTCCTTAATATCAAGATTATGTTTTTGCAACCTTTGACAAATGTAACTCTGTAACTTCTGTCGGTGCTGTGCTTTTTTGGAAACCAAATTTCCCAGAGGAACCCACCCGAGGGATTAATAAAGTTTTATCTTATCTTATCTTATCTTAAATCTGTAAAGAATATGAACACACGTGGATCAGTTTGGGAATCAAACTCTTAAGTCAACTCCTCAAAAACAATTGTCTTAAGTCTTTTCTCCCCTGTTTTTGTGCATGCTTGTGTTCAGGTCGCTCAGCTTAATAGTAGAGACAGCACATATGTTCTGAAGGACAGTCTGTATAAGGAGCTGCAGAAGGACTGGCCCGGCTACACCTCTGGAGACCAGCAGCTCCTCAAGCGCATCCTTGTCAGGTAACTTAGATAAAGATGTACCTGCTGCTGTTTTCATACTTTATAACTACTGCAGAGCTCTCAGGCCCTGCGTTTCTTCATTATAAGTTGTTAAGCTTAAGGAATGGAAATAACTGGCATTTTAGTTCATTTTCATCACTTTGTAAATCACTATAGTGGCAAAATTTTTCAGTTCAGTGATTATGTCCAAGTGTTTTTGAGGGTTACAGGTTGCTTTTCTGCAGTGATGTAATTTCTCAAATTTGTGTTTCTGTAAAGAATCAGTTTCAAAAAAATCTTTTTACATGTTTATGTAAAAAGACCGTTACACTGGGAGCAACAGTTCAGACCTGCATATGTAGGGTTTTTTTTTTCTTTTTTTTTAAGCTGCTGCGATAATTCGAGAGTATGAAATGACATATTTGGACAGGAGATGCAGCGATTGTGGAATTTTGAACCAAAATGAAAGTTTACCGTAATCGACATTTAAAAAAAAAAAGAAAAGAAAAAAAAGAAATCAGTTCCCTTTTTTTTGCCAAGCCATTCATGATCATCCTTGATGCCAGCTTCATATCATCTTGGTTGAATTGTGCCGAGATGGTGTTAGTATTCAGCAAACATCCCTATTCAACTGTTGTAGTTACTCATAATACAGAAGGAAGCACTCAGGTAGCATAAACCACTCTTAGTTTGAAATTCTCTTCAAATGCAGTTGCACAGCGATCGAAGGCTCTGATGAAACTTATTCTCACAGCGAGTGCTCTGGTGCTGCGGATAAATTCAGTTAGCAAGAGGCCACATCTTAGAGTTTAATGATCTGATCTGTGTCACCGTCAGCCGTTCAGAGGAGACTGCATGAATTAGGCCTGTATGGTTGAAGCAGAAGGTGAACGGATGGTATTTGCATATGTGGGTTCCACTATGTAGCATGGAGGAGGAGGTGTGATGGTGTTGGCGACTTATTCAGGATTCAGTGCAACATTGAAACAACATATTCGGCAGCAACACGTCATCCCATCTGGTTTGTTTAGTGGGACATTTATTTATTTAAATAACAGGACAATGAGCCAGTGGACACCTCCAGGCTCTGTAAAGGCTATTTAACCAAGAAGGAGAGTCAGGGGAATTATGGGATATGTTTGATCACAGAGTGAAATAAAGGCAGCCTCTAAAAGCGTAGCATTGTGGTGCTTTTAATTTAGACTTTTTAAACATTAAACTTTTTTTTTTTTTTGTACCATATTATTATGTGTTTATCTGGAGGGCTCTGCTGTTGCATTGCACTGTACAGCACATGCAAGAAAAAAGAATGGATTCCAGGGAAATGCTAATTAAAGCTGATGCCCTGTGTTTTCTGTGCAGGCGACTGTTTCAACCGCAACAGAACCTCCTCGCTGTCCCTGAGGCCCAGGTCAGCCCACTGCGAGACACGCCCAACTCTTCACCAGCACACCGTCCAAAGCATTCCCTGCCAGAGGAATACACTGACCCTTTGGCCTCCAAGAAGCCTAGGATATCCCATTTTTCCAGCAAAGCAGCCAGTGACAAGTCAAAAACGAAGCCTTCTAAACAAGCTCACGAGGACGTCACAGCAGATGACAAGCAAGGAGTATCGCTTGATCCTCAGAGACTTATTGACTCCTTGTCAGCAGTCTGTCAGCAGGAAGAAAAGGTGGCTAAAAGGTTAGAACCACCTCACGCTCCCCCGAAAGAACCCGAAATTCCACAAGATCACCCTCAGGATAACTCAGATCTCCCCCCGTCCCTTCTAACGGTGCCAGATCTTACCAAACATGCAATAAAAAAGAAGAAGAGCAAACACAAACACAGAGACCATGTGAGAAACTGCTCCTTATTTGTCTTTTAATAGTTATTCCATTTGACGTGACACATTGCTAATTTGGATTTGTATTCATTTGTCAAGGAGAAGGATAAGAAGAGAGACAGGATGGAGAAAAGAAAAAGACCCAGCTCAGAGCATCCAAACAACAAAGCCTCTCTGGACTGCACAGGTGAGGCCTAATGGCTGCTGACTCATCAGCACATGTGCTGCTTGTTTAGTTTTTCACTTAGCTGACATGTGTCTGTTTTTCTTTCAGAGCCGGCTGACATTTTTTTTGACTCTAATGCACTTGGAGTGGACAGTGACACACCAGACTATTTATTGTATGCATCATTCATTTGAACAAGTATTTGCAATGGTCAGAAGGGGTTGTTTACTTGTCTTAATGCACTTTTATTTAATAATTTCCTTTTCTTCTTTTGTCCCGCCCTCTTCACAGGAAGTACACAGTGATTTGTAGCCACGAGCAGAGACAAAGTTACAAACAGGACTTTAACAAGGAGTACAATGAGTATCGAGATTTACACGCTCGCATTGACAGCGTGACGCAGCAGTTCATGGATTTGGACACACAACTCAAGCAACTCCACCATGAATCACATAAATATAAGGTAGATGTACAGAAAGTCTTTTTTTTTTTTTTTTTTTTTTTTTTTTTTTTTAAATGGAGGAAGTTTGCATAAACATCCTCTCATCTTTCTTTGCTGTCTGTAGTTAGTCGTTAGACACATACTGTCCACTTTATTAGGTACACCTTACTTGTACTAGGTTGGACCCCCTTTGGTCTTAAGAACTGCCTTGGTTCTTCATGGCATAGTTTCATTCTTCAGAGATTTTGGTCCGTGTTGGATTGCATCACACAGTTACTGCAGATTTATCGGTTGCACATCCATGATGTTAATCTGCCATTCCACCATATCCCAAAGGTGCTTCATTGGATTGAAATCTGGTGACTGGAAGCAGAATTAAGTGCAGTGACAACTGAAACCAGTTTGATAATGTTTGAGCTCTGTGACAGTGTGTTATTCTCCAGAAAGCAGCCATCGGAAGATGGTACACTCTGGTCATAAAGGGAGGGACATGGTTACTAACAATACTCAAATAGGCTGTATTGTTTAAATGATGCTCAGTTGTTCCTAGGACTTCCAAAATGTATCAAGAAAATATCCCCCACACCATAATACGACCTGTTGCCTAAATTTGTTTAACTTATGCAAATTGTAGCCTCAGTTTCCTGTAGTGGCAACAAGTTAGGTCTTCTGCTTCTATAACCCATGTGCCTCAAGGCTGGACACGTGCATTCAGCAATGCTCTTCTTTATACTTGTTGGCCCGAAGCAAATGGGCCTGTTAAAGTCATTGCTTTGGGAATCCCCAAAGTAGCAACCTCTAACATCAGTAAGACATTTTCACCTACAGAATTGCCACTATGGGTGAAGGATTTATTTTTGGCTTATTAGACTTAGCAGATGAACAGGTGTACTTATTAAAGTGAGCAGTGACATGTGTATGTGGCAAATTCAGTCATATTTTTCCTATATCAAACTTGCACACACAATGGGGCCCCTGTACCAGCATTTGGAGGGGGGGG